ATATATATATATATATATATATATATATATATATATATTTACCATCATCTATCATATATATGTATATATATACATATATATATATATCTATCTGTATCTATATATGTATGTACCTGTGTATGGATGCATGCATTATCTATCTAATCAGACTGTTACTATATTCATTATTATATCCTTATAATTGCACTAGTAAGAGCCATTGATTACATGTATTGACCTTTAGCCAGGGCCTGCACATGGCACACATCACCTCATCTAGCTCCGTGACAGTGCTATAAGGCTGGTGTTTTGCTTCATATACAGGAAACCAGGGCTTGGAAGAGTTAAGAGCTTTCCCTAGGTCTCCAGCCATGGTAAAGCAGGCATGCACAGCAGGGATGCCTGTAGGCTTCAGGTTCACACTTCTGATCTCTGTACTTTCTCTAAAACTACTTGTAAATTCAAGGTTTAGAAAAGGCGAAGGGAGGACACCGGCAAACCCTCTAGTCATCAGAACAGAGTGCTCAGGAGGCTGCCTGGCTCTGCTATCTGGTTGATTCGTAACAAGTAGTTATTGTGAACCTCCTGGGTACCAGGCTGCCTGGGCACTGGAGCACAGTGGCTGGCCTAACCGAGCTTGCTCTCTAGATGAGAACAAACAACACAACAACCCTGAAACCAAAAACTAACAGGAAGGGGGAAGGGAGTTGAGGTGGGTTGAAGTAATTGAAAATAGGATCAGGAAATGCTTCTCCTGATTAGTTGACATTTGAACCAAGTCCTTAGTTGCTGAAGGGGAAAGGTGCGTGAGTGCGTGCGTGCGTGCGTGCGTGCGTGCGTGCGTGCGTGTGTGTTCTGGACTGAGGGAACAGCAGATACAAAGATCCTCAGTTCCAGCTGATCTTAAGGAGGATGGAGATCTCTGTGACTGGAGACTGGAGAGCCGATGGACAATGTCAGGACTGTAGACCACATTGGCAGTAAAATACAGGTAGAAAATGCAAAGACTGGAGAAGAATCCTAATGTCTGATGTTTTAAGCCTGAGCGAGATGGGAAATTTACTGGGGCTTTGAGCAGAGGTGGGCCATGAATGACTTATATTTTAAAAGTCTCACTCGTATTGTAAATAGACTGTAGAGAGAAAATGGTGGCAGAGGGGAGACCAGTTATTGGTTGGATAAATATTTACCAAGTGTTTCCTGTGTTTCATGGACTTTCACGGAAGCTCAGGATATGGTAGTTAGCAAACCAGCTACCTGCTTCCAGGAGTTTATTCGTGGTGGGAGGAGTCAGAGCATAATTAAACAACTAGTGATGGATGGCATCAAGAACAGGAAGCAGGCTGCCACATTCTAATGGGTTTCCTGTTTTCCACCTGTGGGGACAGAAACCCATCCTGGAGCCTCCCTACATTGAAGCCCATCACCGAGTCTGTACCTACAACGAGACCAAACAGGTGACGGTCAAGCTGCCTAACTGTGCTCCCGGAGTCGACCCCTTCTACACCTACCCGATGGCTGTTCGGTGTGACTGCGGGACCTGTTCCACCGCCACCACTGAGTGTGAGACCATCTGAAGCCAGCATAGTCTTCAGAACACAGCTGGGGGCCCGAGCCTCACAGATCTGCCTATCCCGTCAATGTATCCGTTCTATCCCTTGCATTCAAGTATGGTTCAACTTGGGCCAGCCCGTTACCGGCCTGGTTCAGGCCTTCCTCTATCCAGTTCAGTCAGGAGGCCCAGTGCAGTACACTCACACTAAAAATATCAATCACTATTGACCCTTCCCCAGGATAATGTCTCTGGTTCATATGTCTGTAAGTTAGGTTTTCTTTGCTTGACTTTTGGAACATGATTTGTGTATTACAACCCTTCCCCAGTTTCGATTGGCATGGTGGCATTTATTTAAAGGAATTGGATATCATTAAGTGACAGAAAGCCTTTACATTCCCACATTCTGCCATTGAACTCCAACTGGATTTATGATTAAAGGGCAAAGTATGATCAAAACCAATGCATTTTCTTCCTTGCTCAAAAGGAAACCCAACTAGAAGTGTTCCTAAGAGAGAATGCTCCATTTCCCTTTCAACTGAGCAATCACCTAGATAAGAGGCAAAGATAGTCCTGGCTGGTACTGGTGCATTTGCCAATTAAAAAACAAAACGAAACTCAGAAAATGCAATTAGAAACTACCATTTAGGTTTAAAAGCACCAGACACTAAATTCACGGCTTGAGTGTTCTCCCACAGCCACAGTGAAGTGACCAGTGGCAAATGCCCCTGCCTACTTAGTAGATATTCAATCTAAACAGCAATGTATTAGCCTCAGAATCCTGAGTGTTTGTGGAGGTGAGACTGTCTGCTGGTTCAGAGGAGAGAGGCTGTGAACGGCTGGCTTGTACTTTTTCTAAAATCTTACAGCAGCTGATTCTGGGAACTTCTTTTTAAACTCGAATTTATGCAAATGTTTTTAGTTTTGGCATTTGGTGGTTTTAGTTAACTTGGTTCTTTTTTAGAGTATGTCAGGAGCATCTACACTGATGTTAATAAAGTTGCTTACTGTCATCTGAATTCATGTAAACTTTTAGAAAAGTCTTAGTTTTTATTTTGCTTGGTATAGCAATAAAGGCACTTGGAACTTTGAGGTTCTTTTCATTGAAGCATCCATTTGGGGTTTCATGTTTAGTAAGGGACACAGATGACTTGTGGTGGCATGAGTCCCAGGGGTCCTGTCATCTGTAGCCCCTGTTGGGTCCAAGCTGGGAGTCCTGAGTGCACTCTTGAAGGAGGAATTGCTGAATTCATGAAAAATCTACAAAGCAAAGGTTGAGACTGGTGATCAAGTCCTTCGATACTGGGGTGAATGTCTAGGAACAAAGGATTTGAGCAAAAGCCACCCCAGCTTATAGCAGCAAATGTGTTGGTAGGAGAGGAAGTCATTGCACAGAAAGCCTTTGAGTGGCTGTGGTCTCTCCTGGGAATGGGTGCTGCTTATAATGGTTTAGGGGTTTCCTTCCATTTCAAGAAGACTTCCTCCGGGTTTTCTGGGGGCAATCTTCTGACCAGAGTTTCAGGAAAGATGGGCACAGCATTAGTAACAACTCTGGCAGGAAATAATTTGATCAGAATTAAAGAAACCAACAAGGATGGGTGACACACTTGTGCTTTGGAAGTCGTGAGCAACCTTAGGGTACTGTGATGGAAAGGACGTGATTATTAAATACAGAGGCAAACACAGGAGAGGAACCAGTGTCCAGCTGGAGCTGTGGTCATTAATAGGATGCCGAAGCTGTTTGCCAAACTGAGGCATAGGAGGGGCAGGGGTATCTCAACCTACTTGCTTTCCATACCCTCGAATCAAATGGGAATCATATTGGAGGGCAGAGACTGAGGGACCCATTGATTTAGTCCTTCATAAATTCTGGTCTTCTAGGAAGCAGATTGAATGGGGGATAAAGAATGGATCTAAGGGTAATGGGAAAGGCCACATGACTTTTGTCTTAGTTTTTTTTTTTTTTTTCCCTGTGAAGAGACACTATGACCATGGCAACACTTATAAAGAAAACATTTAATTGTGGTGGTTTGCTTACAGTTTCAGTGGTTCAGTCCACTATCATTATGGCAGGGGGCATGGTGGTGTGCAGGCAGATGTGGTGCTGGCTATATCTTGGCTTGCAGGCAACAGGAAGTCGACTGAGACACTCAGTAGTGTCCTGACAGAGGAAACCTCAAAGCCAGTCCCCTGCAGTGACATATTTCTTCCAACAAGGCCATACCCACTCCAACAAAGCCACACTTCTTAATAGTGCCTCTCCCTATGAGTTTATGGGAGCCAATTACATTCAAACTACAACTATGTTGGGATTTTCAACTAAAAAGTTCAGCAGGCGGTACTGGTAATTGTAGGGACAATATGTAGGCTGTAGTATCACGATGGCTCACATTTCTCTGATGGGAACTGCTGTGGGATGCACTCAGAAAGGTTTGTGCCCACTAATACCTTACCTATAATATTTGAGAGACAATGGTAGTTACAAGCACTCTGGCATTAGTTGATTGATTACTAAGGATAGATAATCAAAGGCCTTTGGGCATGGTGTGGAAGCTGCATTTGAAGAGGCAGAGGTGAAAACCAGACCCATGATCTAACTGTGAGAGCAGTCCAATCATTTCGAAGGCTGACTCTGCTACTACCATGGCTCTGTTCTTACTCATGGTCCTAATAGGAAGGGGAGAGACACAGAGGTCTAGAGTGGCAACAAGCAGGTGGATACACTTGGTGGCCCACTGGCTCCTCCTTGCTAGAGGAGAGCAGACTCCCCTATCTGGAAAGGCACAGGGAGGACCTAAGGTAGGTGTTGTCTTATTGTAACTGTCTTCTCAATGAGTGTTCTCCACAATTCCTGTAGTTTAATACTCCTGCCTCTGCCTCCTAAGTGTTGGGGTTTAGGTATGTGCCATCACACCCATTTTTCTTTTGGTAGTGCTGGAGGGTCTTGTGCCAACTAAGCAAGTACTTTGCCAAATGAGCTGCAATCCAGTCCCTACAAACCCACATATTCCAGATGCTAATTATAGGAAAGACTTGCTTGCTTTCAAGCAAGGAGGAGTGCAGGTTTCTCCTGAAGGAGCTACTGATAATGCAAACCAGAGGAATGGGTAGAAGGTTCTTGGCAGTGGGTGTGGAGTGGGAAGAGAATGATGAGGATACAGCCACAGGAAAGAGTATCCAGGATGTGCAAGTGTAAGAACAGTAAGAGTTTGTCCCAGTGTGCTGTTGGGATGGCCCCTTATCCACCTGCTTATGCTTGGGGGAAATTGTGGCTTCTTTCAATAAAGATGAGAGACTTTAACCATGCTGACAGAGCACTGAGCAATCAAGGATAAGCATAGGATGGGGTTATTCCATAGGATCAGAGGACCCACCAGCTGTCTGTGTTCACCTGAGAGGTTCAGAAGACACCCTTTTTATCCAAGAAACAAGGGCTGCCTCAGTGAACGACATGCCTACCACAGAAGAGTTCCATCCTGACTGTCCTCTGCAGGCCAGGGGATGCTGCCATGGAACCAGGCTTCTAGGTGTTAGCATAGGGGACAGGGCTTTGCAGAGACCAGATGGTGACATAAAGCTATAAGAGGCAAGGAGGACATTACTGCCATGGCAGACAACAGAGCTACAACAGTTTCTAGAGGCCTATGACCTGCAGGGTGTGTGCTACTGCCTAGTAGGCAGTAGAGTTGCTAGTCCATGGGATTAAAAATTGCAATAAATATATATCATGATCAGGAAATTTACTAAGGAAAAAGGGGAAAACATCTGTCAGGATTTATAACAGTGAGAAACCCAAATCTTTTTTTTTTTTTTTTTTTAACTTTTCCTTTTTGCCCTCTCTCCATTGTACAGCTTTCTTTTCCATAAATATTATTAACTTTAATTTTGTGCAAAGCACTATTTTGGAAATAAAAATGCAAACATTGTTTTATAGAACTCCCACATTTATGAATTTTAGGTGTGTGTGTGTGTGTGTGTGTGTGTGTATGCATGTGCACACACATACCTACATGCACGTGGAGGCCAGAGGTCAGCCTCTGACATCATTTTTCAGTAGCTATCTACCTTGCTTTGTGAGAGATCTCTCTCTGAACCGTTGGGCTAGGCTGGCTGGCCAGTGGGAACCAGGGATTCTCTTGTCTCTTGTCTCTCCAGAACTGGGAATACAAACATGTGCTGCCAAGCCTAGTTTGTTTGTTGGTGTTTGTGGGTTCTGGGGGTTGAACTCAGGTCTTCATGCTGGCAAAGCAAACACATGACTGAATCATCTCCCTAGGCTTACTTCTTTAGTCTGTGTCAACCACACTACTAGGTATTGTTAGTATCATTTTACCATTGCTGTCTTATGGGTGACAAAGCCAAAATGCCAACACAGGCCCACTCACTTGTCCATGCTAAGACAGCTAATAAGCCACATGTGCCTGGCATGGTGGTTTGAATAAGTATGGCCCCCATAGTTCAATGTGTTTGAATGCTTGATCATAGGGAGTGGCACTATTAGGAGGTGTGGTCTTACTGGAGTAGGTGTGGCCTTGTTGGAGGAAGTGTGTCACTGTGGGCATGGGCTTTGAGGCCTCCTATGCTCAAGCTATGCTCAGTGTGATACACAGTCTCCTTCTGCTGCCTGCAGATCAAAATGTAGAACTCTCAGCTCCTTCTCCAGCACCATGCCTGCCTGTGTGCTGCCATGCTACTCGCCGTAATGATAATGGACTAAACCCCTGAAACTGTAAGCCTCCCCAGTTAAATGTTTTCCTTTATAAGACTTGCCATGGTCATGATGTCGCTTCACAGCAATAGAAACCCTAACTAAGACATCTGGATTCTCTGACTCAGATCAGCCATGTTCTACTGAGGCATGATGCCTTTGGGAAAGTTTCTTCCCAGTTATTCCTGGTTGGTGCAGTCTGAGTTGATGGATGTCAGACTGCTCATTAGCATTTTCTGCCTTTCCTGGAGTCTGGGTCACTCTGTGGAGTTTGGAGTGTTCGCCTGGCTTCCTGAGTCACCTCAGGAAAGGGATGG